AATATTTTACCATGTAATCTGACGAAGCAGACTCACCGTAATGTTTATCGAGCTTTTCTTTTGTCTCTTTCGCCTTTTTCCCTTTCAATAGTGTTTAATCACTGCACGAAATTCACTTTTTTCCATTTTTCAAGAAACACAAAAGTTGCTTACTTCAAACGACTACAACAAATAAACTAATCGATGAATTTAGGTGAAATTTTAACAGCTGACGTTTGACAGATCGCAATTTCTAACAAAAAAGTTTTTGTGTTTGTGCTGCCATCGGGCGCTAGGTAGCTTCAATAGCAATCCGTCCTCGTATAACCTAAAATTGAGCTTAACTTTGAGTAAGTTTTATACAACCAGCCCTTAATGTATTGTTTTTTATACCATTTAAGGTCTCCTTAACTTAAGGGAGAAGACAAAATCCATAACAAGTAGTATAAAAAATGGAGCAGGGAAGTTAATCGTACAATGTGAGCTTTTAACACTTTATTGATTCGGAACAAAATTACAAAGTTCGTGAACCTAGGCCTACATAGTATTATATTATAATCATACCATACAAATCGGGCATCATTAGTCTGGGGCCGTTTAATCAACCCCATAAAATCTGCTTTATGCATCACTTTATACTATATTTCCTTAGTTTATAACGTTTATGTAACATAAATTATGTTTATAATAATATAAATACAAAATACGTCTTAAAAATAAGGGTATCTATATCTACTTACCTCTTATTGTTATTATTTTGAGTTCAACAATTGCACTACTTCACTGAGGTTCTTTCCACGGCACAGCGCTTTCGTCATAGCATCTCTTTATTCTATCTCGCAATAGCATACTTTTTCGTTTTGTAGTCTGTACGTAGATAAGCTAATACCTATCCATATTGGTGTAGAAAAAATAATAGTAATCGGGTGATTGGTGGATTTAATTTTTTTGCAGTATTCTCACACTACCTAGAATGGATATGAAATATATTCGTTCAGTTGAATGCAATATCATACTTTTTATTTTGTAGTCTGTGCGTAGATAAGCCAATATCCATGTGAGTTTAGAAAAGAGTAGTTTGTGCAACAAGAGTGGATATTGACAATCCACTCGAGTCGTACAGTATAATTTTTCTACGACTCACTAATGAAAATATTTAAAAAATTATTTTAGGTTATTAAGACAAAATAACTAATTTTAATAAAGTTTTGGATTTTTCTAATTTACAAAATAAAACAAACAAAAAAAAGATTTAATTTAATTTATCCCCAGCCCAGATTCGGACTCGAGCGTTTCGAGTGGAAGACAGATGCTCTATCCTCATCTCCACCGCCACTTTAAGAATTTAGTTTTAATACTCTTAATTCAATTAGTTTCATATAAGTAGTTTGATTAAAATTTATTTTTTTAAATGTGGACCATATAAAAATAAAATGCTATTATTTATCGATTCTACACATAAAATAACACATTTTAATGTATATTTAATCTCAATAACTAAAAAATATAGGTACTGTCAATTAGTTTGACATAATTGTCACTTATTTCAAATTTTAAAAATATTAGTAGTGTTCTTATGGATGTGAGATATATTCGTTCAGTTGAACGCAATGGCATACTTTTTCGTTTTGTAGTCTGTGCGTAGATAAGCTAATATCCATGTGGGTGTGGAAAAAATAATATAGTAGTCGGCTGATTGGTGGATTTCATTTTTGTGCAGTGTTCTCACTGTCTAGGAAGGATATGAAATATATTCGTTCAGTTGAACGAATATTTTTTTAAATAATTTTTTTTTTAAATAATTTGACATTTAAGACTGACAACAGGTAACAGAAAAATAAGTGGTTTCACAGTTGACAAGCCTAACCATCAATATAGTCTTATTTCACTAGGTTGAAGTGAATAAAATAAGCTCCGTAAGAAATGCATTAGATTGAAAAAACATTGACATTTCAACTACAGGTGCCCACCTTCCTCTAGTTGTTGAACCCAAAATTCTGAAAATCAATAGGGGGCTCTAAGCGGTTCTAAGTTAGAAGAAATTATTAAAGAAAATTGCAAGTCGATCGGAGCTTTCGTTCTACAGTTACCGTGCCAGCATAGGTAGGTACACAGGTACGTACAGACTTGTGCACGAATCTTTTTTATTTAGGATGACTGGAAACGTGAAGAAGTGTTACAATGTGGAGATAGGTAGGTACCTACTTTTTTTGTCGGCACGAATGCAATACGTAGGTACCTACTGAGCAGGGCCGCCGAGAGCCAGGCCGGGCCCCCAGAATTCTCTAGATCGGGCCCCGTGACAAAAAACAGCTCCCCAACCAAAAACTTCCCCCTCTCGTCTTGTGTCGAATTTCTCATACAAAACAAAAAAATCAGTTGTCGGGCCCCCTTTATACCGCTGCCGGGCCCCCATTTGAGTCCGGGCCCCGGGAATTAGTCCCGGCTACCTCCCCTCTAGTCGGCCCTGCTACTGAGGGCTGAGGTCCCTTAGTTAGGTAGGTAGGTGTGGGCCGTATGGGCCTCAGTAAAAATATCAGAAGTTACACGTTTTTATTTATCTATCCTGAACATAGAACACCTTCCTGGGCGCTGGGTACCTAGGTATCTACCTACTTAAAATCCTATATCCTATAGGTACCTATTTATTTATAAATTCCCATCCACCAATCTCTAAATTATAAGTGCAATCGAATAATTTATTATCTTTGGTTCTAATACCGTTTTCCATTCGTGTTTCTTTCATGCATACGTAAATGCCGGTCGATCATTCAAGAAACACGTGAGTGCTCGACATCAAATTCGCGACGTTGTCAGTTTTATACAATATCCAACATTCTAGAGTCTACATTTTTATCCTCTGTTAAAATTTTCAAAGTTGATGTATATTTTTAGAGAAAACATTCCTCTTAGTTGCTGTTCATATTTTTTTATGAATAAATTATTTACAAATATTGTGAAGATCAGTTTTACAAACGGAAAAGTGAAGTAATTCCAAACTGAAATGTGAAAGATATATAAATGAAGAAGAAAAACAAATTAAACCCAAACACTGTGTCAGAAAAAACATAGAGTGACCCATTCCCTCCTTAAAACAACTACTACTCTGGCTATATACCTCGACCGATATTGGATAATATCTAGAGAAAAACAGCAGATATCGAAACGGTCGCTCGACGTTTTCTGTCTTTGATTTTTTCTTGTATTTAGATTTGTGGACGATAATGGACGTTGATAACTTAGTTAAAAACATGATAAAACTATGATACTTACATACCTGTACAATAGGTAATTTATACTGGTGATATCAAAATGAACTTCGAACTCTAAAGATTTTGGTCAGAGAAAGTTATAAAATGTAGAATGTGAATTAGATTGTTTTTTTAATAAAAATATCTATTCTGTCACAATTCGGAATCTGTATACCTATACCTAGAGAGGAGTTCAATGGCATACATTAAAATAGTTCATGAATTTAAATCAAAATTATGTAAGAGGTAAGTATTTTTAGAAATATTCAAAAATACAGGGGTACCTACTATATCTTATACCAAAGCAAGGCGGTATGACAGAAGAGAACCGGCATTGCCTGACTCGCTTGCCAGGAAGGCAGTTGGGTTAAACCTTTTTGAGTCTGTAAATTTGGTAGCGAGTTTTAACATCATAACAATGAATCAACCAAGTAATACTTGACAAGATGAAACAAAATCTTTGTCGAATGCACAAACACCTCTATAAAATGAGAATAAGTGATAGATGCATGTGTAAGGAGATGTGTACAAGAAGAAACTCTCGAGTACATAAGAACTTACTTTAAATAGTCAGTTTATTTAGAGTTATGTTATTGATGTATTATTTCTTAATAACTTTTTGTTTGGTTAAATAACTTCACATATATATTGGACACCGAATTGTAAATTAGTCACATTTGAAAAAGAAGTTTTACTTCGAAACATGTCATGTGTAGTTATTTTAATTTTAATTTTTTTAAAAATAAAAGGTTTGTGAAAATTTACCAAATTTGGTTTTGATAATTTAAGATACATAAGAATGACCACATGACTAGAAAATCTGTATTCAGAAATTATTGGCCATCGCTCCGAGGACATCTCAAACTAATATAAAAGATGATGATGTTATAAACTGCTAAAATAGTAATTTGGCTGGAGAGATAAGAGATGTAGTCATAAGAAGAAGTAGCACAATGGGCCTAATGAGATTTATAGACTAATCCACCCCGATGAGTGAACCGGCCACCCCCAAAATACGTTTTCACTCGTAATCACAGAAATCGTTACAAATTCCCTCGAAATCTCCAAAATCATCGCGGATATCCCGAAATCATCACGGAAATCCCCACAATATCACCGAAATCATTACCGAAAACAATTTTTAGTCGAAATATAAACAGCAGATGTTGGATAAAAAACAAATAAAGTGCAAAAAAACGAGTGAAGTTCAAAAAAAAGATCTTTTGAATACTTTACAAGAAAATTTAGTAGAAATTATAGCACGCTTTCGTCGAAATCACCGAAGGGGTAGGTATTTTGGCGAAACCGATGAAGTCATACGAATTTTTGGTGATTTTCGAAGTACCGGTTGATTTTAGTGGTTTACAGCTCGGCCCACCTTTTCAAATTTTTAGAAACATATAGGTAATTATGTATGTACGTTTACAATAATATTCAACGTTAATTAAAAAAATATTTTAAAATATTTATCTACGTATTACCTATAATACATATTTCTTAACTTTCACAATATCTACATAGGTACAAATCATAAATTATTGTAGACCTATTTAATAAATGAATAGACACGACGTACGCATATTTATATTTATCACTTAAAGTTACCTAAGAAAGACAAACATTCATAATTGGGACATTCAATTCAAAATATTTGCTCATGTTTTTGATACATTTTGTCATTATTTACATGTTTGTTGTATTGTTAAAACATTTATATTATAGAAGAGTGCCTACGTGACTTAAATCCGGCAACAACGCGAGCAGTGAAGAGTATCGCCCATCAACGTAGCCGACTTGTTTTCGTTCTGTCTCTTTCTTCCAGTATTTCCAGTTTAAAAGTACGATTTGTTGTCCTTATCCTTATTCTTAACCAGTGTTTTTAATAGTGAAGTCGTGGAGTGTTAATTTGTGTGTGACAATAATGTTATCTCCTAAGAGTTTAGCAATGAACAGGACAAGCCGAGAATTGTTTAAAGAAATTAGGCGTCACATCAGCAAAACGTCTAGCGTCCCAAATAGCGATGCTGTTTCTAGGCAGGATAGTAAATTAGGAATTAATCTCGAGTTAAAGGGGTCAGATCCCAGAACTGCCAGTGAAAAATGGTCCATACACAGCAGACACAATAATATAAGGTATGTCATTGTGTTATTTATTCCCAAAATTTTCCTTAGGGTAATACCATACATACCTACCCTATTTTAGTTGTAAAAGTCTATTGTCTATTATTTAGCTATCTACCATCTACAACTTTTTTATAAAAAAAATCACTGTGTGATGACTTTCTTTCTAATGTTTTGAATAAACAGGAATTTTTACCTACAATTTACATCTACGTACCTATTTCTTCTGCTTGTTTTTAGTGTTATGATCACAAATACATAAATTGTATCTCAAACTCAAATTCTTTGTTTCCCATTGATGACAGTAGCGTGCGGAAGTGAACCTTTGGGGTATGTAGGGTTATTACAAGTAGGTAAATACTTCATATAAAATACCTAGTTAGTTTATAGATTAGTTATAAAAAGATATTCTCTTAGGTCTAGTTTGCACAAAAATTACGCTTTTCATAATAAAAATGTCATTTTAAGCTTAGTTTATTTATTAAGGATTCGGCAGGGTTGTACAATAGTCAGTTAAAATGTAGTCTTGGATTAAACTGTGAACGTCATTGCATAATCATTAGTTATTCTTGAACAGTTTTAAAATTGACATTCATACTGTGAATATAACCAGTTAAAAATTAAACTCCTGTTAGCTAAACTGATTTTTTTGCGGTATTATTAGCTTTTGAAAAGGTCCTTAACGTCGGTAGTCAACAGGTACCCTAAAGTGTTAATTTGATTACCAAAAAGTACCTTCTAATCTCTTAAAAATTATTTGCCAGGACCAGGCCAAAAAGAAAAAAAAAATAAAACCTAGATAGGCATATGCGAGGGCATATGATGATACTTAATTTTTAGAACAATTTTGGGGTCCATGGATGGTTTTAATAATTTGTAGGAGATTTTTGAGATTTGTTTCCGAATTAAATTCACAATTTTAATACTTAATTTTGTTGGGTTCACTTTCCACTAACAAATAAATGTGTGGATACTTAACCAGAAAATGTTAAGGCATGTCATCATCAACATATGCCAATGCCAAGAATCTCACCTAACTTAGGTAAACATGTGACAGTATTTCAGGCAGAAATGTCAGCACTGGACAATGGAGATAATAGACATAAAGTAAATGGAAAAACCATTTTCATATACACAGTCAACAGACATTAAAGGCATTCAGTTCCATGCAGGTACACTCGAAGCTTGTGTGAGACTCTTTGGAAATCCTAACAAAGTTGGGTAATCTAAACAGACTAACCTTAGCTTAGGTACTAGGCCACAGAGGATAAGGGCAATTAAGAGACTGATTTACTAGCCCAAGAAGGAGCCTCAAAGGCTCTTATTGGCTCAGAACGCTTCTATGGGGTCACAAAGACAGCTGACAGAACATTCACAACACAGTGGATGTTAAAAAAAAAACTCGAAGAACGGTGAAACAATTCACCAGGACAAAGAAAGGTCAATCTTAAAAGGACCATTGCCAAAACTATGCCATAATAGGAAAAAAACTGGAGTTCTAGTAGGCATATTAACAGGGCGTTATTGGCTTAACAAACATATTGTATAACATCGGACTGGCAGAAGAGACCTTCAGTCAGGAAGAACAGGAATTTACAGTACATGTATTGTGCTACTGTTAAGATCTACAAAACTGAGATTCCGTATACTTGGAGAAGAAAAATCAAGGGCAACTAGCTGCACCGGAGAGCAACAAAAGACCAAACTAGATAAGGTACTAGAAGCAACAATAAATAAAGGATATAGATCTGAAAAGGTCGAGCTACATGGCCCACAGACCTAACAAAATCTGATCTAATCACTAACAGAGATTGTGTTCACTAACTAATCCAAATTTAGAGAAGCTACCTATCTCTTTATATATATCCACATTGTCCTACATAGAGAACACATTAAAAAAAATCTGAAACTTTTGGTTTAAATAAAAAAAAACAAATTGAATTTTTGGGTAGAAAAATTATTAAATAAATACATAGGTAGGTATAATTATTTAGGTACACAGTTCACATTACGTTATATCATCTTTTTTTTCATGATTTATCTGTAGGGTTGCCAGATTTACGAAAGTGAAAAGCGTGACAGCCATGATGACAGAGCATCAGGTTCCAATACCAAGCATTTTTATATAATCAGGTTCATTATTTGTGAAATTTCTAAAAAAAAAAAGGTCATCAGCTTGTATTTTTCGTCAAAGAGGGTCCTGGGTCCTTCAGTCGATATTTATCTAAAAAAAAAGGTCTTCACTTTATATTATTCTATAAATCCTCTTCCTCCTTTTTATTTACGGATTTAAATATTAACAATCGTGACATTTGCATAAAAAGAGTGGCATTTTTCTCAAAAGCGGGACATTTTCGTACTGTGTCGTTGAGCGTACAAGCAAGTCAAAAAGCGTGGAAAATACGCCTAAAGCGTGACGTCTGGCAACCCTATTTATCTGCGTTGAAGCAAAATTAGTATTTGTACCTACCTAAAGATTTTCCCCAACCCCAGTTTGAACTACACCACTGGCTATGTAAACTCAGATCAGCTTGTGTGTTGCGTGTGTCGCTGACCTCTAGGAGGGAGGGTCCAGCCACACCAACCACACCAGCCAGCCTTGTGTCTACGTGCTCAGATGCTCGTACGCAAAGGAGTGGGTTAAAAATTAACTGTTATTCAATACAATTCCAACAATTTACCAAATTGATCAGTGATCATACATTATTTAGATATCGGCTTTTTCTTTGAAGCGGCCTGAAATTGGGTTTATTATGTAAATTAAATTATGTAATTGATAAGTAGATACTTATCTACATAAAATTTCTGTAAAGCACGGCTTTATACCACGAAATAATACCTATCTAAACAATTCGCTTATGTATAGATAAATTATCCAGGTACCTATCTATTTATATTTTGCTTCAGTTACTAGATATTTCTCGTAAAACATTAGTAACAATGAGTTACCTAGGTAGAGTCCCATTTCAGTACGAAAAATACCGTTAAGTCATAACCATTATTTCCTCGATTATTTCATATTTTAAATACATTTAAAGAAATTAAAACAAAAATATTAAATAAAAAACAATTTAAATTATATTTTTATTTAAAATTTAAGAAAAACTAAAAATTTTAAATCTTAAAGGGAAAAACTAAGTTATTTAGTCAAGTTTTGGCAAAATAAAATGCAACAAAACTAAACTTTCTGGGATTAGACGATTTCTTGTGCTTTAATATACAGCACCAGCTGAAGAGAATAGCTCTTCACTAGCTACACTACTTGATGGGTGTGCACATTTATATAATAGCGGAAAATTTTCTTTTTGTGCCTACCAAATCAAAGGATCTTTAATTTTTGATATTTTCTCTAATTTAATGTACATACCTAATTGTGATTTATTTGCTTTCATACCGGTAAGTTTTTCAAAGGTACTTCAAAACAAACTGAGAAATCGTTTCAGAGACATTGTCCTGAATCTCTGGGTATACCTAACCTGTTTTCATTTCTTACCAATTTTTGCTTACATCGAAGCAATCATAATCTTTCTGTAAATTCGGGATCCCGTCCATTAATTTTGAAGATTTAATTTTTAAAATCTTTCCAATAAAGCATCGTCGAAAAAACATGTCTTGAATCTTGAGTCTAATAAAGTGGCAAAAAGAAGGTTTCGCGTAAGTGACCTTTCCATTTTTTATTTAAAGAGTCTTTAAATCCATGTTTAGTAGTCTGCGCCTCTTAAAACTCAGCTCCTCTAGCTTTGTCAATAAAATTCGACCGCGCGAATCTCCAAGCCTTGATTTGCCAAATTCAGGGTTTCGCCGAATGAAATTGTATTCGATTAAGGTGATTAGAGCACCCCCTTATAATTTTCGGACAAGCATATCTCAAAAAGTAATTTTTTTTTTAAATTAAAATTTTGGCAAAATAAATTGGGCAATAATATCTAGAACATGCTTATAAGTTTTAATTATTTCCAGTTTCCAAAAAAAAAAATCAAAGGGCTTTAAATTTTAAAATGTCATAATGAAAATAAATGCATTCCTCAACAACAGTATTCTTAATATAATCCCCAAATTTAAGCTCTTAATATCTTGTTAGTGATTTTTTAAAATTCGCCGAAATTACTAAAACGCCTCGTTAAGTGCTGCTTTCTGGTGTAACGCATCTGTAACTATCGTATCGTACACTCTGAGTCATCATTCGTTTCTTGCAACGATTTACACCAGTTTACACGAGTTTAAACCAGAAAATAGTACTTAACAAGGCGTTTCAGCCACTAATTTCGGCGAATTTTCAAAAATAATTAACAAGAGATTAAGAGCTTACATTTGGGGATTGCATTAAGAATTCTGCTGTTGAGGAATGCATTTATTTTCATTATAATATTTCAAAATTTAAAGCCCTTTGATTTTTTTTCTCGGAAACTTGAAGGAATTTAAACTTTAAAATATATGCATATTCTAGATATTATTGCCTAATATATTTTTCCAAAATTTTGATTTTTTTACAAAATTACTTTTTGAGATATCCTTGTCCGAAAATTATGAGGGGGTGCTGTAATCACCTTAAGGCAGTTTACAGAACATCGAATTTGTTCTGTTCTTTTTACGTTTTCGCAGTGTTTTTATGGGTATACCGTGTTCAAGATCATTCTCGCTTCAATAGGCACTTCTCAAATTTTTAGTAATTGACACTTTAGAGAAGTAATCATATATAAATTTGGTAAAAGCTATTTTATTTTTCATTAAACATTTTGTCAACAATTTAAATTAGTTTACAATCTATTTGATATAACGAACCAATAATAATAATAATAATTATATATCAGAAATATTTTAGACTAACAATTTTCCTAGATTTTTGTAAAATATTTACAAAATTTCACCATTGTGTTTCATCACTTTTAGCTTTGATAAGGGCAATAATTCTTTGGGACATTGTATTTACAAGCTCTTGAGAATCTTGTGCGCTGAACTGACTCCATATTTCTTGAATATTTGTTTTAATTAAGGCCCTGATCTTGCGGATGCTGCACGCCATAATGTATCTTTCCAGTCAGTCAATTTTTGTCGCTTGATATTCATACTAATAAATTATTAGTAAATAAGATTTTTAAAAACAAGCTTTTTTTGGGTTAACGTTGGCATCGGAATGACTCCATTTGCCACAGAATATAAAAACAAGCTTTTATTTAAATGCTCTAAAAAGCGGAAAAGTTTAACCCTGAGTGCAGTAGCCATGTCGTGGCGAATCATATACGGGTCCGCCATATTGAGTTTAGAGTGACGTCATTTTATTTTCGTATTCTTCTCAGCAAACCCTTTCATTTGATATCCATATTATGATAGCAGATAAGAAAATTTGCCATATTGAATTTAATGTGACGTAATTTTTTTTCTCGTATTTTTCTCAGCAAAACCTTTTAATTGATACCCACATAAAAGGGGGGGGTGCATAAAAAAATAACTACTTTTCCATCTTTAAGAGTCCGCTCAATCGGTGAGGAAAACTGTTTTAAAATTAAGTTGCAAGATTTGACTTAAACAAATATACAAACATTTATGGCCACAACCGAGGTGCTCTGCTTCGTTCAGAGCTAGCAAAGCACCTTGTCTTTTGTAAAACCGAGCAACATACATTTTTTAATAGCTTTAAAAAAGCCTAAAAATATGGCAAATGTTTCAACTCAAATCCTTCCTAAATATTTTTGATAGCAGGATAGCTTAATAACATACGTCTTAGCATGATAAAGATATTATTTTTGCTCATGTTCTAATTGAGAGATACCTACTGAACATATATTGCGTGCCCCACGTGTGTTTCCTAATTGCCTATAAGAAATATCTAATTTAAACCAAATTGCTGAAGGTGTGTGTGTGGTGTCCCTCTACTGATCATAATATTCAGTTCTTTTAACACACGTAACAGTTTTAGCAGGTCGCTGCAATAATTTCTTAAACATAACTTTGGTATTGGGCAAGACAGTTCGCTTACAACTTCTCTTTCATGGGTATTTATTTTTAGAAAACGGGATTCGGTTTAGGTATTCTTTTTCTTTCTATTTAATTGCTTTTGAATCATACATTGAACCTAAAACAATTCCTCGTAAAGTATATACATATAATGAATAATATGGTCCAGTTAATTTGTGCAATTCCACCGTATGACCGAATCTCACATGCTCTGGGAGCTGTTAATTATTGTTCCTTGAATGGTTCAGTATTTCAATGCTATTTTTGAATTGATTGCTAGTGTTATTATCTTTATTTATCCATTGTTTGTTTATACAAAAGTTTTATTCAGACATTCTTATATAGAAGTAGTGCATATACAATAATGACTGTCAATTATTATTTAGTCGTGCTAAATATAACACGGTTTTGATTAGGATAATTATTGAATTAGTGTGATGTGATAACGGTACCAGGAGCTATTGGATATCATTTTTACAGTAAACATAATGAAAACCAATTAAGACGATACAACAATACACAATTTCATGTTTTGGTGATTTCATATTTTGCAGAACGTTGAACTTCCGTGTCTATAGACTATATCGGTATCGTGCGAAATTCCTATTAATTGCCAATAAAAAATAACTGATTTTTATTTGTGTACTACAAAGCAATCATTCTTACCTATATCACAATATACTTTACTAACTTTGTACAAATTAAATGCCAAAGAAGGCAGCGAGCACCTAGGAAAGTTTGAGTTAAAACCACTATCGTGGTTAAAAACTTACTATTAAACTTTACCATCTTGGTTTGTACAATTTATCCAAGATAGCACATCCCTGTATATTTCTAAAATATTGATTTTTATAATTTCTATTGAATTACACAACCCTGTATATTTTTTATATTGATTATTTTAATTTCTATTGAAATAACTCAATACAACCCTGTATATTTTTTAATATTGATTATTATAATTTCTATTGAAATACTCAAAATTTCACCCATCGAAAACAGATGTTTATCCTGTATGTATGTATAATATTTGAATGAAAATGTTAGGAGCTACATTTAAACGAAACCCCGGTGGTATCTCAAAGAAAGTTACATAAATCTTTTGACTCGCCATTGAAAATAAGACATTAGATTATGTACTAATTTTATCTAGCGTTGTGATGGCGTCGATTTAGGTACGTCGCAGCGTTGAGCGTCGCCTTGCGTCGAGGCGTCTAGCGTCGTGGTGGAAAGGAAGGTATTTAATACGGTACTGCATTGGGACAGATATACGGTAGAATTATGTAAGTGGTATGGGACGTGACGAAGGGTGCCGACAACGATATTATGAAGGAAATATTTAGGGCCGGCAAGCATCGGAAATAAGGCGTGCGACGTTGACAGCGTTTGGGAATAGAAGATATTGTAGGATAGACGTTGTTTAGAAAGAACGTTTTAGGAAAGGTACTGACTACTGAACTTGAAATATAACTGGGTACAAATAATAAATGAATGCTTGCACATCACATAATAAAAAAAATGAATGAATCCGAGCTCCTTTGGGTCAGATTTCTTATACTAAGTTTAATAGCTTTCTGTGACGTCTCTGTGTTTTAGTTCCCATCGAAATACGAATGTGGGCGCAAAGGGGGTAGCTTATTATGTGCCTTGAGGGCTTTGTGTATCGAAATATTGTCGAAATCGGTCTTAACATCGAAACTAGAAAGATAAGCGAGTTAAGTGTTTTAATGATGATTACTTCGTGAAAAGAAATATGTTTTATGATCTAGGTTCCCAGACACGTGCACGAAATTTGGATCTTCTACGGACGTGGTTATAGATATTATATGTCGTAAATAAGATTTAATTATCTGGGAGATTTTTCGTTAAATGAAGGATTTTGAATTTAATATGAATGCAATATTATATTTATTAAAAGGAATTAATAAATTATTAAGGTACCTGGCTGCGGTAGGTTACAGCTTCATTCCCTTGTAGATCTTGATTTTTTTCAAAAATTTCAAGTGGATATTATTGTTCCTTTTTGAGTTCGATTTTTTAAAATATTTCAACCCATTTAACCCCCACTTTTATTCATTTTTTTTCACAATCAGTAGGCCTCATCTCCTTGTAGAGCTTGATTTTTAAAATCATTTGAATAAAGTCCTCACCGCTACAACAGTCTGACACTTATCAGGGCATATTTCTATAATTTCAAATTCATTAGGGACAACCTACAAAATAAAACAATTATTCATATATAATTGTACTACGGTCAAGAAATTATCCTTTTTTAAATAAAATATATAATAAAATTTGTCATACTTTTTCGAAACTTCGTTTGTCTTTTGTTGGAAACAAAAAAAAATAGCTGAATACATAGTTGGGTATAAAACTTGACAATTCTGTAGACACTGGAACAAAAAACAAAATATAAATTACAACCGTAATTTGGAAATAAACAAACATCACAGATAACCTCAAAAATAATAGTAAATTTTTTACCGGAGACGTTTTTCGGTAACAATCGTTGAATTGACACACATACTTCCGATTTATTAAAGTCGCTGTGACTTTTCCCTTAAATATAGCTCAGTTCTGGAATGCAAGGGAACCTTAATTCATTAAACGGGCGTTTAAATTATTAAATTCAAATAACAGGAAAAAATTCTGAAGAGGCCAATATTGTAAGGAGACTCATCTAGCGGTATATCTGGGTTCTGGAACTCTTGAGGGGCCCCTACAGGTTTTCTTCTGATATGACAAGTGGACGAACTTTGAGTCATATTTTGATTAATTTTAAGTTAATAATTTTATATTTAAAGGTTGACGGAATGAACATGTTTTTATATTATTTAAATAACGCTATTTTAAAAAAATAACGTTTATTATACCGTCATTGCATCTCTTCTTTATTCTATATCTATGATTGGAAATATTCGTATGCCTTGCCCTATTTCGTGACGTTATTGGGTGCGATGCGCAAAATAAGGTGATTTAAGTGATTTTAAGCAGGCACATCGTTTCACGGATGTGTTGACACATTGACCTCTCTTTTTATCTCGGGTTCCCTCAGAATAGTGCACCAGGGAGACGCAATTAGCCAGAGCGTAGTGGCGTACCCAAAATAGAGATTAACACGTATGAAAACAAAATTATTAAAATTGAATTTATATTTTTATGTTATGTATTTTAAAATAATGCGGTTTTATGAAATAATGTAACTGGGTGTTCACTACACAAATGAACCAATAGAGAAACCGCCCCGGAGTATATACTATTTCTTTCTTTCAGGGCTCTGTCCACAATACAAACGAAAGTGAAACCTGCCGTTACGAATGCCCCAGTTTTCTCTAAAGAAGAGAGTAGAGACTTTATGGCGGTATTTCCGGACATCGTCCGAGATTTGACAGACGCCGGTCGTCATACAGACATTCCCGAAGTAACTAAACGTTTCGCTAAAGTCTTACAATACAATGTACCTACGGGAAAGAAGACCAGAGGTCTTTCCACTGTGATTGCCTACAAAATGTTAGAAAAACCAGAGAATTTAACGCCCGAGAACGTCAGGCTAGCTAATATCCTGGGATGGTGTGTAGAATTGGTAAGTTTTTGTTTTTTTTTATTGGGTTTTTTTAATATGCATTGCTCGTCTATTGAAGTGGATATTTTGAATGCACCATTTTATAAGTTGGATTTTATGGTTTTTAATATACCAACATTTAATTTTAACGGTATCATCTCGCTGAGAAGGTGAAAAGCAATGTAGGTATGCGGGTTTGTATTGTCGCATGTATTGTATTTTTTAATTTTTTAATTGGTTATATATATTTTTTTAAAATGGGACAAGGTTTTCTGAAAACTCATTAAAATAAATTTCACCTGATTGATTATCTTATGATAAATGAATATTAAATGGAAAACACGGACTATATAAGTACGTAGTACCGAAATGTAGAAACTTTTGGGATAGTTATTTTGATGCAACTATACCAATTATAATCTTAGAAGGCTTTATGATCTTGTTAAATTTTTGATTAAGCAATCACATTGTTAAATAAATCATAATCAAATTAATAGATATTTCCAAAAAATAAATACTTTACAAATTACTTTAAATAATAAACGAATAATAATTGATTTTATTGGCATATTTACAATATATTAATTGCAATAAGTAATTAGAGTGTAAAATATAATTAATTTTCATAGTGTAAATTATCCAAAAGGCAGAGATAAATTCTAACTTCATCTAACTACATCAAAATCGTTAAAAATTAAGCATTACGACTTTATTTTTTAATATTTTTAATGCTTTTCTTTGACATAGCCCCAAAGAAAAAAGTCCATCGGCGTTATATCGCACGATCTTGGCGGCTAATGTTGATCGCCAAATCGGGAAATGACACGGCCTGGAAACTTGGTCTGCAGTAACACCATTGTTTCATGTACTAGGTCGCTATGTTTTGTTGGAAAAACATCCAATTCGGGACACAAAAACTCCGTTAACATTTCGAGATACCGCACACTATTAACAGTTAGCGCATTTCTATGGCATTTTCGAATAAATACGGCTTAATCACTTCGCCAGCTCAAGATGCGCCCCAAACAATTACTCGCGGTAGATGCATTGGTTGTTCGAGTATCACACAAAAATTTTCACCACCCAAAATCCGACAGTTTTGTTTATTTACGTATCCGTCGATTTGAAAATGTGCCTCATCTGAAAAAATGATTTTCTTCGAAAAATCCGCATTAATTTGATGATGCTTCAACACCCAATCAACAAATCCAGTGCTTCTGGGAATGTTTAATTCTTGACCACGATGCCGAAAGGAAGTTCCTGGATTCTCGGCCACAGATTCCATTACTGTGGCTATATTTTCGAGTGACCGACCAGGGCTGGTATATCTAAGGGGGTCGCGACATAGACCCAGTAAATGGATGAGGGGGGACTGAGGCTAGGGGGGAAATAGTAGTCAGCTTAAGTTGGCAACACTTTTGTGATGTTCGTTTGGCAAAATTCACGGTTATCGTTTGTCCTGCCGTAATAGTATTATAAAAACAGAGACAGATCTACTTTTAACGTGCATCGTGCATAATAATGTCAATATGGTACAAATTACAAGTGGAATGAACCATTGTTTTCCTCGTAATCGAATTAAAAATTAAAACTAAAAACATTTTGTACTTTTTTATATATCAAATTATGCAATTTTTTTCCACTTTATTTTAATGTTACATGAATAGGTACATGCGTTTGTGCTGTGGTACATAAGTGTTCATGTGAAAATTATCTCTGAAACTTCATTGTGACTGCACTCATCTCAAAACTGAATGCTGTAAATCCAAGATTTAAATCTTTCATAGTGTTGCTTGAGATAAATTGTAAAAAAGGTGTTGGACAAAACGTTTACAACCTAAAATTGCATGGAAAACATCATAGAAGAAGGAATTTTACCTTTATGACCTTCTCTTTCAAGATTTTTAAGTGACTAAGTTTGTGGTTTGGTGAATGGACTCAAGTTACCACAGTCAAAAAGTTCAAATTAAAAAAAAAGTGACCAAGTTCCAATAAGAATACATAAGTTGAATATGAAAATGTAATTACTTGATTCAAATTATGTGACTTAATTAAGAGCTAAATAGATGTTTCATATAAGTGCTGTAAAATGTTGATAAATGCAAAACCATTGTTAAAGTGAAATTAGTTAAATAGGATATTTTGTAGTAGCTGGTCTGTTTAAATAATAAACTTGAAAGACTGTGAATTAGTAGTCACTTTTACACTAGAAGTAAAAACAAAAAAAATGTGTGGTTGAGACTAATTTATGTATTTAATAAAAACATATACCTATTTAACGTTTTATTTAAATAAAAAGCAGGTGTTATTTGAAATGTTTTATTTTAGTTTAATAATGTTTATAAATTGTGGGTACATTTGATCCAAATCTTGCTTAATACTATAAAATGCATATGCATTTCTATATGGTTAGTATTGGAGTAAAAGCACAAAAGTTTTGATTAAAAATATATTCTTTAAATTCAATATTCACTAGATATGCTAATTTAGGTAATTTCCTATTCGAAGCCATACATGTTTCCTATTATAGTTTTCATACGTTTATAATTCTGGAGATACTGAAATATTTTGCTTGATTACTAAACTTTGGTTGTTCTTGTAGTCTGCTGTTAACACTATTGTCCTGAAATATTAAAAAAGCTAGACAAAGGTTTGTCCAACTCTTTTGTCAGCTTTGTTAATCTATACTACTGTTATTCTGCATGCAGTCATTTTTTACTGGAGATTTTCTCTAAGAACTGTATTCAGTTTCAAATTTCGGTCAGTTTTAGGAAAGTAACCCTGTTGTAAAGGTATTTCAAATCCATTCTTTGTAAGATATAACCAACAAATACATGCTAAAATGTATAGAAAACAAATCGTAAGATATTACACAAAATTATTTAAATTAAATAAAAACTACAAATGAAGTGAATAATACCTACCAACAATTTAAAAAGACCTAAAATAAATAGACTTAGCGGACTGGAGCTCTAAAAAAGGGAGCCATAATTTGTTATGCATCCTCATCTATAAGAAAATTGTCTTCATCTCTTCAATTACCTTTTAAAATAAACCAAACCAAAACAGCACAAAAATGAAAGTAATCTACTTTTCACGACGTATTCTATTCACGAAATATTTTATCCTAAAAAATATGGGCATTTTATAATGAAAATGTCATTTAAAAAAAAGACATTGATTTTTTTATATTGTTGCCACATCAAAGGGCGACTACTATTTCGAAAAAAATGGCGTCCAAAATGGACTCCTATGTCGCGACCCCCTTAGATATAACAGCCCTGGTGACCGACAAGGACAACGTATAAACAGTGGTCTTCTGATCCATCAGCGTAAATTTGGTTTCAAATTTTGTAACTAAACGCCTCACTGTCGATTCATTTGGCGCATAATGCGACCGAAAACTTGACGTAATTGGCGAACTGTCTTCGCAAAAAACTTTCACCCTTTTTGTAATGTCTTTTTTTCAATAATTAAACGTTGTTTGTTTGTGTACTTCTCCATATTCTTAAATCAGGTGGTCTGTACGTGACAAGTGTAAAAAAAATCACTGTACAACCAATGAACTGGAGTGGGGTAGAATGCTTGTCAATAAAGCTTGAGATGCGACTCTATCGACGCAGCCCACATACTTTGATTACTATACGGTGCAAGAGAGACGTCCGACACGCCCAACATAGGGCGCGGCCATTTTGATTCCTATGCCACAGTTTATAGCTAAAGAATCAGATCGCTCACTCTGCGTCGGCACTTTTGATCTCAGTGTTCCAGTTTATACACTGCGCAACTTGGATAATACAATATATGACAACCGCCTATAATAAAACAGCAGTCTTCTGCGTATCCTGAATTTGTATCCCTGGAGTGGATGTTATTTTGGAACTTTCAACTGGTCCGAGTGAGCTAACTGATTCTTTAGCAATAAACTGTGACTCCAAAAATAATATTCACTGACACTGACAGCAGCAAGCAAAATATCAGGTGCGTTTTAATCATCCGCTTCTGCTTTCGGAATTGTCGGTTTAGTCGTTTTAACCTGTCAGATTAAAACAAGAAAACCGACAATTCCGAAGCAGAAGCGGATGATTAAAACGCACCTATTAAAAATATTGCGCCAAGATGTAGGCAACACGTAATAAGGCATCAAAATGGCGGAGTTTTCTATCTCCTTTTAAAAGGCACTCAGAAAGCTGCGCAGTGCGACCATTCTCCGTATAGTAAAAGAAAATCAAAGTATGTGGCGCAGCCATATTATTTTTCATCTCACTCGGGAGTACTTATACTACTTATAATAACCATTATTAATTGTTTATATCATGACCAATCAGTTTTTAGCGTTTCCTACAAATTTGTTAAATTGATTCAATCGAGTTTTTGAAAATATAATATTCAATTTATAATTTGGCGGATGGAACAAATATTTTATTTTTTTTGAAAGTTATAAGAAAAACATAATTATATCAGCGATTATGTCGAAGTTGTTCGAGGCATACAGTACTACCTACGCGTATACCTTTTAAGTAGTGAGTCGACTCTAACAAGGTAACTTATCCTAAGAAGGGGAATAACTCCTATTATAAAGTTTTAGAAATTTTAAATAATGACCTATGAAAAATGCAACAAAAAAAATAATGAACTGTAAGCTAAAATTGATTGTGTCTGATTTCGTTAATGTTGATAAAACCATCTAAAAAATAATATTTTTTTTTTTTTATTTTAGCTCGAGTTTTTTTACTTACGGACATATCAAAAGAGTTAATACCGGATTTTTTTGTTCTGTTCATAATAAGATCCCAATAGCGCCTCTGTGATATAGCGTATACTATACATCAGCCATACTCAACCTGCGGCCCTCCAAGCTTTTTTTGCGGCCCGAATCATTATTATTAAGGTATTTTTGAAAACTATTGGTTTGTTTTTAAAATCTTGAGAGAGACTCACGAAAACATTCATCGGTCATTGTGCTAAATATCATGCTAATTTTTAAATAAACGTTTGGATCATGGGGTTACTGCAAAAAC